TCTATCTATCTATCTATCTATCTATCTATCTATCTATCTATCTATCTATCTATCTATCTATCTATCTACAGTGGGGGAAATAAGTATTTGACCCCTTGCTGATTTAGCAGGTTTGCCCACTTACAAAGAATGCTTATTTTTCCTCATCAGATGGTTATCAATTTTTATAAATTCATATGAGGTGAATTTCTGGAATTTTCTTTGGGATTCAGTCTCTCACAGGAGCTCTTTCAAGCTGGGCACCATTTCATTCACAACACCTGTCCCACCAACCAGGAATCAGAACCAGATGTTTACAGTAAAAACAGGAATAAATCAACCTGTGTATTATCTGAGTATCTTAGTACTGAATGCCCAATAACAAGGTACATTTACAGGTATAAAGTTACACGAGAGGGACGATGACACGAGGACACCTACTGGAGCCTTTTTGTCGATGGGCTTGATGACGAACTTCTTGTCGTTGAAGGAAATGTTTCTGATCTCGCTCCACGGGAAGCCGATCTTTGGTGACAACCTGAGGCGACAGGGATTTTGGTTTTCACCTTTCAGACTTATTTGAACAACATGAGGAACGTTTCCACATTTTGGTTTCCATTTAAAAAAGGAATTTTTGCTTTGAATCCTCTGTTTTGCTCTTTCAGACCAGAAGAGGGCGCTGCTCTCAAATAAGATGCTCTGGACCAACCAGGACGGTTTAAATGTGCTGGTTGTGACTGTATTATCATAAATATACTTGATAAATACCATCTATTGGTGTCCACGGGCAGCTCGAATCATATAATTTTAATCCTTAACAGTAGATCAGATTAATTAATAAGTTTGTTCTTCTTCTGTGGTAGTTTTAGAGGGGAATCTACCCAAAAATCTTCCCAAAATCGCTCCTCTTGTCAGCTTTTAGACTCATTTATCAGCTTCTGGGGTTGGAGACCCTTTTTCCTCATAATCCCCAAAACAAATAAACATGTTTTTGTTCCTCCTCAGAAATAAATTACACTTATAGGAGGCTCGTTGACATCTGAGTGTGACTGTGTGTGTGTGTGTGTGTGTGTGTGTGTGTGTGTGTGTGTGAGCTGCTCACTTGTCTTCGTGCTCGTAAATGTTGAGCCCTAAGGCGTCCACCCCCAGCCACAGCTCCGTGCCCTTCTTGTTCTTGATTTCAAAGTAGTTGACGCCGTACATCTCCAGGTCCTGAGCGATCTTCAGGTACTCCATCATGGCGTCCTCCCTGATAACAAACACATACACAAACACACACACACATACACAGAGACACACAAGTGTAAGCAGCGTTTGGAGGTTTCAAACGAACATGAAGCAAACCTCTGAGTGGGTTTGAGGCTAGTAAACCAAACTGGGTTGTACACATGGCTGTAGTGAACATTTCAGGGGCTAAGAGATGAAAGCAATCAGCTGCTTTTGGTAACACAAACCAGACAAATAGTCACTTTTATTCTAAGCAGAAACAGCTCATCGCTCATGAAAATGGACGGTTAAAAGCTGACGCTGAGCTTAAAACAGCTTCTCGTGGAGC